GTAGTAAATGGTCCAAGTCGGACCGAAAGTCTTCAAAATTTTAACTCTCCTGAGTTCGGGTTATTTGTGTATAATCATTATTATAATTTTTATTAATATTACTATTTATAATAGCAGTAGTGTTACAGTTATTGTTGATGTTACTATTTTTTTGTTGCAAATGGTAAAGTGTGGTTTTTGAGCATATGTTTGAGAGAGTCACGTTATGTGCTGGTGCCTCCCAGCTCTGACCAGCAGCGCTGACACATCCTCTACCGTCCTCAATACTCCCCATAAAGAAATCAGAATGCATAGAGACGGCGAGCGAGACACACGTTCCTCGTACCTGTGTGGGTTTATGTGTGGGTGTAGCTGTCTGCAAGACGCATTGCAAGGAGCTCCAGCTTCCCTGTGTGTGTGTAGGTGCCTGCAACACCCCTTTCAAGGAGCTCCAGCTTCCCTGTGTGTGTGTAGCTACCTACAACACCCCTTTCAAGGAGCTCCAGCTTCCCTGTGCGTGTGTAGCTGCCTGCAACACCCCTTTCAAGGAGCTCCAGCTTTCCTGTGTGTGTAGCTACCTGCAACACCCCTTTCAAGGAGCTCCAGCTTTCCTGTGTGAGTGTAGGTGTCTGCATTGCAGGGAGCTCCAGCTTCCCTGTGTGGGTGTAGCTGTCTGTATCACGCTCTTCAAGAGGCTTCAACTTCATCCTAACATCCCTAAAAGAAGCTACAACTGTTAACAGAATAGAGAGCTGGACGAAAGCTTATTGACACATAGTGAGGAGCAGCTCCCACCCACTTCAAAGCTCACAAGAAAAGACCTCCTAGCGACACCTAACAGTCTGTTTCATCATAATACCAGCATATTATTCCTATCAGCCACACAAACAGCCTAACCATGGTAAGTCCTGCATCCACCAGTGTCAAGTTTATCACAAAAGATTCCGTATTGACCCAGTTTGTTACGTTCGTGAACCTGTCAAATATTAGATATTGTCCCAAGGTTAATGGAAAATTTCAAAATCTGCTTTTTTGTGAATTATATTTTTATAAAACAAGGGAATTGAAAATGGTAAAAAATTGAAAGCTGATCGTAAAATATTGGCAATGTTGGGTATTTTTTGTTCAAAAACGTTTGGCATAGGTTTCTTCAGTCGAATACAGAGGAGGCAGCAGAAGCAGTAAAGACGACGTAGTTTTGAGGTGGTCAATCCCTCAGGAAATAGTATGGAACAATGTCACATTGTTCCAGACTCTGGAGGTATCACTCATCTCCAGGCTGAGGAACTGACCACCTCAGAAATAAGTCTTCGAGGATGATGATGGACTGATTACATCGTCTCAACATCACTACTGCTTCCGTTTTCTTGTTATTAAGGTTTATTCTTATTTTCTTAGTATTATTTTCATTATTATAGTTGTAGAAGTTGTAGAAGTGGTGCACTTAGGAGTCTGTGGAGACAAGGAACTTTGTCCTTGGAGGCAAAGAGGGGAATGTATGAGAGTATAGTTTTACAAACGCTCTTATATGGGTGTGAAGCATGGGTGATGAATGTTGCAGCGAGGAGAAGGCTGGAGGCAGTGGAGATGTCATGTCTGAGGGCAATGTGTGGTGTGAATATAATGCAGAGAATTCGTAGTTTGGAAGTTAGGGGGAGGTGCGGGATTACCAAAACTGTTGTCCGGAGGGCTGAGGAAGGGTTGTTGAGGTGGTTCGGACATGTAGAGAGAATGAAGCGAAACAGAATGACTTCAAGAGTGTATCAGTCTGTAGTGGAAGGAAGGCGGGGTAGGGGTCGGCCTAGGAAAGGTTGGAGGGAGGGGGTAAAGGAGGTTTTGTGTGCGAGGGGCTTGGACTTCCAGCAGGCATGCGTGAGCGTGTTTAATAGGAGTGAATGGAGACAAATGGTTTTTAATACTTGACATGCTGTTGGAGTGTGAGCAAAGTCACATTTATGAAGGGGTTCAGGGGAACCGGCAGGCCGGACTTGAGTCCTGGAGATGGGAAGTACAGTGCCTGCACTCTGAAGGAGGGGTGTTAATGTTGCAGTTTAAAAACTGTAGTGTAAAGCACCCTTCTGGCAAGACAGTGATGGAGTGAATGATGGTGAAAGTTTTTGTTTTTCGGGCCACCCTGCCTTGGTGGGAATCGGCCAGTGTGTTAATAAAAAAATATTGTAGAAGCAGTAATATTAGTAATAGTAATAGTAGTAATTGTAATAATCATTAGTAGTAGTAGTAGTAGTAGTAGTAGTAGTATTAGTAGTAGTAGTAGTAGTAGTAGTAGTAGTAGTAGTAGTGAAAAGTGATATAAAAACATCCTTCACTCTGACCCAGTATCTTCACTCATTACAGAAGTTGTGTCTGGTGGTTTGCGTGGCAGTGGCGGTGTTGGATGGTAACAGTGACTGTGGTGGGAGTGGCAGTGACTGGCGTGGGCGGGGACGGTCCAGAGTCATTATTCACGAAGGCTGGGTCAACATGGCAGCCAGACTACTCCCAAAACAAACTACTCGCTCTCATCATCAAGGATTATCACAGCCACAACCACAACACTAGCCCCCTCAACCACATCTCCAGCCTCCACAATCACACCTCCAGCCTCCACAACCCACACTCCAGCCTCCACGAGCACTCCACCAGCCTCCACAACCATCCCACTAGTAACCACAACCAAGGCATCTTCTTCAGTATAGTAAATAGGAATGGTAATATTCACAAATTGCTGGAAGAGTTCGTCGGTACAAGCGTCTTAGATAAGGTTACTCAATATTTCTTCAACAAATTGGGTGTATCTGAGAGTCGGAGTTTCGGATCTACCAGTGTTGTGAGAAACTCTTTCTCCAAAGACCATGTTTCCCAGCACTCCACCTACAATCAACCTCATACTGCACAGGACTCAGCCTACCATCAACTTCATACTGCAGAGGACTCAGCCTACCATCAACTTCATACTGCAGAGGACTCAGCCTACCATCAACTTCATACTGCAGAGGACTCAGCCTACCATCAACCCTACTCTACAGAAGACTCAGCCTACCATCAACCTCATACTGCAGAGGACTCAGCCTACCATCAACTTCATACTGCAGAGGACTCAGCATACCATCAACCCTACTCTACAGAAGACTCAGCCTACCATCAACCTCATACTGCAGAGGACTCAGCCTACCATCAACCTCATACTGCAGAGGACTCAGCCTACCATCAACGTGACAACAACTGGTAAGATATTGACTGATGTCTTTTCTCTTCGTTATGACCATTTAACACTGCATTTTTTGTAATGTTATTTCTCGTTATTATTTTTATTTCCACAAGAAAGAAAAAAAATAGTGACCAAAGTACAAGTCAGTACAACATTAAACAACACACATGGTTACAGAATGATGCATTTTTTATAAAACCGTGAATAGCCATTGTTCTTATGTGGTTTAGTGGCAGGCAAGGCAAGTACGTCAACAACCTATTTCTTCACTGCTCACCTCTTCACTGTACACTTCAGTGTACTTAGGCGCTTTGAAACATCTGCGGATTTACTCTTCTTACTAATATTTTAAAGTTCTACATATTAGGTTAAACATAATTTAATTAATTTAATTCATTTAATCGTTAAATCCATGTGGGTCATTGAGCACAAAACGTGGTGGAGGTTTGATCCTCCGTCTACTGAGCGCGAGAGAGAACCAGAGAACCGTATGACTCAGAATATAAAAGGTTTTTAGTTTTGACATGGTTTAAAGCATTATACAGAATCATCTGTAAAAGAAAATTGAAAAGGTTGTGTTGTGGTTTCATGACTGACTCACAAAAACTAATGTTAACCCATTTCAACTTCCTCAGGCACTACGGCAGCGGCGTAGCAACTTACGTGGAAGACTTCGACACCCGCTCTTCGAGCTACGCTGAAGTCGATGAGTATCATGAGATGCCATTGAAAGGTGCTTGTATAAACATGCACAGCAGCTACTACACTGGTCTCACCTGTATTGATCTGTACTCTGCACTCTCCATAGCTGCCTTGGCCGTCCTCCTTCAATTTATCTACTACTTCAGTGTTGCTCTCTTGTGCCCCAATGCCGGCAACAGAAAGCTGGTTTTTAACATCACTAACGACAACTTCGTAAAAGTGTCCTCGGTGCAAGGCAGTCAGACTCAGCTTCAGAACCAGAGTCAGAACGAAAATCAGAATCAGAAACAGGAAGAACATCAAGATCAGCATCAAGCACAGATGGAGTCTCAGACACAGTCCCAGGCCCAGTCCCAAACCGAGTCTCAATTTCAGGATCAGTCACAGACAGTAAGTGTAACGGCTAGAGGTTTCAGGAGTCTCCGGCAAACCGGAAGTCACAGCGTTAGGAACGAAGCTGACGAGTTTCACCAAGACTCCTTCTAGCCTTGTCAGATGTTGGCATTCATGAGCATCGGGACCTAATCCAACCAAAATCCAAATATATTTCTCAGCGTCATCGTAGTTTAGATAAGAAAATTAAAATGCTCAAACTAGATCAGCACGTCCCCCAAAATTCGGATTCCCTGGAAAACTCAGAAGAATGGTCTGAGTGGCCAAGAAGGGAGGAGAAGAAGGGGTCCTTCATGAAATCTAGCTCAAATCTGTCAAACTTCAAGGATTTGTTTACACCTTTCCTAGACTGGAATGAATTTAGTTTCCCTTCATTAAACTGGCCAAATTTTGACATACCTTTAGGAAAATGGATTACTATGAGTCTACCTTCAATTTCCGTGGGAGATGAAAGGCTACTTCATTCATTTTGCAAATTTCTTATAGGCTGAAAAATAATGTAATTTGTTACCTGTTATTATTATAGTATTACTAATTATTATAATTGCTGCAATTAAAATTATTATTATAATTATATTGCTAATTATTACTAATTACATAATTAACAGGGTAATAGTAATTATAAACCGCTATTACTCACAATATTATAACAGTGATAGTGGTAGTAGTAGTGATAGTGGTAATAGAAGTACTAGGTAGTAGGTTGGTAGACAACAACCACCTGGGGAGGTACTGTAAATGTCTAACACAATGATATGACGTTTTGCTCCTTGTAATTCGTCTTACACGTGCAGTTGAGTTAGCACAGGCTCGTGCAGACACACACATCTCCTAATGGTTCTTGTTCTTATAGATCAGGGGTACCCAACCTGGGAAGCACGAATCCCCATGGGGTGCGTGATGGGATTTCAAGAGGGTTCGAGAAAAAGTCCCGATGAAGAGCACAATTCCGTTTATTTTTCCCAAAGCTTTTCTAATTGCTCAATTTGTATTTGCATTTTATGCACTGACTTAAAAGCCATAGCTTTTGTAATCTTTCTTTCTCATGTACCAGCTGACTTTTCCACCATGTGTATAACTTCTACTACTACCTCTATTTGTATTACACCTCACTTAGAGCCTATGTATACACTCTGTGTCCATGTATTGTTTCTAACGGCTTGACAAAGCTCCTGGAGAGCGAAACGTTGCCACAATAAAATGTCACATTAGCTGCATTTGTGTCCTTTTACTTGACAGGTTGGGGTATTGGCTTAAGCCGGTAGGAGACTTGGACCTGCCTCTCATGGGCCAGTAGGCAAGCTGCAGTGTTCCTTCTTTCTTATGTTCTTATGTGAAAAATTTTTTTCTTCGTCGGGTTACCCAACCTCGATGGGAGACGGACAGTGTTGAATAGAATAGTACTACTAACAGTAGTTGTGGTAGTAATAGTAGTAGCAGTAGTAGTAGCAGTAGTAGTAAGTACTAGTAGTAGTTGTTGTGGCAGTAATAGTAGTAGTATGAATAATAGTAATGGTAGTAGAAGTGTTGACTTGCGTAACTTACGTAATATTTTAGGTCAATTATGCAACTCAAAATTTTGCTGGACTAATTTTGTTGTTTGTTATTGTTGTTGATGTTGTTGTTGCTGTTGTATTTTCTATTAAATTTATTTAATTTGACCACCTTGGTGTATTTGAAATAATCAAATGTCCTTAAACTTGCTTTTTTGTTTGACGGTTATTACATTTATTATTATAATTATTATTATTATTATTATTATTATTATTATTATTATTATTATTATTATTATTATTATTATTATTATTATTATTACATGAGAACATTAGAATGCAGGAACACTGCAGAAGGACTGCTGGCACATACAAGGAAGGTCCTTATCAAAACCACCCATATTTTTGTCTAGCTATCACACAGAAATTAACCTTTCCACGTTTAACCTTTCCATGTGTATTAACCATATGAATAATCTGGCAAATTGTACCGACACGACCTAAACACATAATATATCTTTCTGATAAGACGCATTAGCTATTAAATATCGAAGACGTATATAAGGGCAACACTCAGGTTACTTTACTGTCAACTGGCTGTGCTTCAGGTTACTTTACGGTCAACTGGCTGTGCTTCAGGTTACTTTACGGTCAAATGGCTGTGCTTCAGGTTACTTTACGGTCAACTGGCTGTGCTTCATGTTACTTTACGGTCAACTGGCTGTGCTTCAGGTTACTTTACGGTCAACTGGCTGTGCTTCATGTTACTTTACGGTCAACTGGCTGTGCTTCATGTTACTTTACGGTCAACTGGCTGTGCTTCATGTTACTTTACGGTCAACTGGCTGTGCTTCATGTTACTTTACGGTCAACTGGCTGTGCTTCATGTTACTTTACGGTCAACTGGCTGTGCTTCAGGTTACTTTACGGTCAACTGGCTGTGCTTCAGGTTACTTTACGGTCAACTGGCTGTGCTTCAGGTTACTTTACGGTCAACTGGCTGTGCTTCAGGTTACTTTACGGTCGACTGGCTGTGCTTCAGGTTACTTTACGGTCAAACTGGCTGTGCTTCAGGTTACTTTACGGTCAACTGGCTGTGCTTCAGGTTACTTTACGGTCAACTGGCTGTGCTTCAGGTTACTTTACGGTCGACTGGCTGTGCTTCAGGTTACTTTACGGTCAACTGGCTGTGCTTCAGGTTACTTTACGGTCAACTGGCTGTGCTTCAGGTTACTTTACGGTCAACTGGCTGTGCTTCATGCTACTTTACGGTCAACTGGCTGTGCTTCAGGTTACTTTACGGTCAACTGGCTGTGCTTCAGGTTACTTTACGGTCAACTGGCTGTGCTTCAGGTTACTTTACGGTCAACTGGCTGTGCTTCAGGTTACTTTACGGTCAACTGGCTGTGCTTCAGGTTACTTTACGGTCAACTGGCTGTGCTTCAGGTTACTTTACGGTCGAACTGGCTGTGCTTCAGGTTACTTTACGGTCAACTGGCTGTGCTTCAGGTTACTTTACGGTCAACTGGCTGTGCTTCAGGTTACTTTACGGTCAACTGGCTGTGCTTCAGGTTACTTTACGGTCGACTGGCTGTGCTTCAGGTTACTTTACGGTCAACTGGCTGTGCTTCAGGTTACTTTACGGTCAACTGGCTGTGCTTCAGGTTACTTTACGGTCAACTGGCTGTGCTTCATGTTACTTTACGGTCAACTGGCTGTGCTTCAGGTTACTTTCGGTCAACTGGCTGTGCTTCAGGTTACTTACGGTCAACTGGCTGTGCTTCATGTTACTTTACGGTCAACTGGCTGTGCTTCATGTTACTTTACGTCAATGGCTGTGCTTCATGTTACTTTAACGGTCAACTGGCTGTGCTTCATGTTACTTTACGGTCAACTGGCTGTGCTTCATGTTACTTTACGGTCAACTGGCTGTGCTTCATGTTACTTTACGGTCAACTGGCTGTGCTTCATGTTACTTTACGGTCAACTGGCTGTGCTTCATGTTACTTTACGGTCAACTGGCTGTGTTTCAGTGGCTGCGCGATCCGTGAAAGATACCCACTGTATTTAACCCCAGTCTCCTCTACTTCACTGCACGCAGTTGGAATAGTGCAGAGTGCGGCATCAGTTGATAACTCAGGAAGATATTAGAGTTGAACATTTGATGGGAATTAGAAGAGGCATTAATAAGTTATCGTATGGAAACTAATAACCAAATTAAGCCATACTTTTTTCTAAGACTGACCAGCTTTTAAAGAAAGTTTAATAATAATAATAATAATAATAATAATAATAATAATAATAATAATAATAATAATAATAATAATAATAATGATGATAATATTATTATTATTATTATTATTATTATTATTATTATTATTATTATTATTATTATTATTATTATTAACATACTGGCTGTTTCCCACCAAGGTAGGGTGGCCCCGAAAAAGAAAAACTTTCACCATCATTCACTCGATCACTGTCTTGCCAGAGACATGCTTACACTACAGTTATAAAACTGCAACATTAACACCTCTCATTTTTATTTCTACGTGTACAAGGTATACAGGCTATGTTGACATCAATGACTTACTACTATACAGAAAGACCCTTTTTATTTAGAGCATTTCGGGCAAATTAAGTAAAATTTGTCCCCAGGATGCGACCCACACCAGTCGACTAACACCCAGGAACCCAGTTTACTGATAGGTGAACATGGACATCAGGTGTCTTAAAGAAACACGCCTAAATGCCTCCACCCGTACCGGGGATCAAACCACGGACCTCAGTGTGTGACCTGAGTGCTCGCACACTGAGGTCACACACTGAGTTTGTGGAAGTTATCATAGCCATTTCATGGTAACAGGAACAGGCTCAACAATTTTGCTTACAAGAGACGTAAACATGCCGATTATTAAAAAAAAAAAATTCAAGCCGATTGGATGAGGCATTCTCGAGTTATGAGAGAAATAATACAAAAAATAATAATAATACAAAAATTTAGACACTAACTTGAAGGTCCACCTTCATGGACACTTAATGAATGCCATTTATCCGCAAAAAAAAAAAAATGTTAATATATGTACAGAGTATTTCCCATGATTCACGGGAAATTCTGCCAGTATATGCTGATACAATGATTATTAACTATACTTATAAACTTAATTTTTAAAGGGGGTGGACCGGTAAGCCAGCGGCAGGTCTCGGCCAGATTGCCAAAAGCTCAAGTAAAAAGATGAGAACGGCGCTAGTAAAAATAAACTGGAAATGTTTCGCCAGCCAGCGGCTTCCTCAGTTCAGTAAAGAGAAGAATGCTTGAAGGTCTGGAGTGTGAGGAAATCAGTCCCTGAGTCTATGGGATAAATTCATCAGTCTTAAACCATGCCACGGGCGGGGCTTGAACCCGAGTTAGAGTCGTAAAACTCCAGACCGTCGCGTTAACCACTGGGTCAGCTGGCTACAATAAGATTCATCCAACTAGGTATATTTATACACCATAGGAAGGTTAGCATAGGCCACCACTGTGACCATAATGCAAGTTTTTACAGATGAATCTCCCGCCAGCGTCGCCGTGACGAACTCTAGCTCAAGTCCCCTCAAATCCGTCATCATGACTCAATAATAATCTATATAAATATAAGGAGAGGACACCTGCACGTGCAAGTACTTATTCGAACCTTTCCCTGGTTACTGTATAGAGGTGCATGGGCCAGGAGCTGTGAATCGACCCCTGCAACCACATATAGGCGAATACATTATTATTATAATCAAGGGGGAAGCGCTAAACCGGTAGGATTATACAGCGCCTAAGGGGGATGTGGTAGGCATTCAGGCGTAATTCGGGGAACTGGAGCACAGATCCAATTCCTTAAATCAAGAGCCCCTCACCAACATCAAGGAACCTTCCGTGACGGGATAGGTGAGTACAAATACCCTGCACATAGGAGACAGGAGCTTGCCAGGACGTTTCGGTCCGACTTGGACCGTTTACTAAGTCACACTATCCAAGTCAGATCGAAACGTCGTCCTAAGCTCCTCTCTCCTATGTGCGGGTTGTCTGTGTATTGTTCCAGTTATGGCATCGTGCCTTTTTCTGTTCTTTAATACACAGGTGTTGTAAATCTGGAGTCAGTTCAAGTTATAAACGAAAACTTTGGAATATGAGCGAAATTCATGAAACCATTTAAATTAACTAACAAACTGAGGTAATATAACATCTGTTAAC